AGGCGAGATGAACACCGAGATCGGTCAAGAAAAGAGGTCCAGAACTTTAAAACTTGGTGAACTGATCCTTTTGTTGAGCAGACTTCTTCGCACGAGTACTTGATAATTTTAAAGACATCGTCATGAACTTCATTGTCAGCGTATTCGAATTCGATGTTTGGAGCGATAGAGTATCTACTTCCAGCAGCAATAGTACGAAGTATATCATCCTCATTCTGCTTTTGCTCCTTGATTTCTTTAATTTCTGCCACTAAGTCTGTCCATGGAAAGCATGAAAGAATGAGCCATTAAAAGACAGTAGGACTAGACAAAGACTGTTTCTTACCAAAAAAAAAATCATAACGAACGGGAAATTGAGAAAATCTTGATAACCATAGTCATATGCATACATAGAATTGCAATGATGTTGATTATAAACTATCGACTTACATTTTGTGCTCAAGTTTTTAGAATCCTGTTGCTTAAAATAGAAGCTGCGATGGTCCAGAGACTTGTGATGGTTCTTAGAATATATTTCAGCCCAAACTTTGTTAAAATCTGAACGACACTTAGTCCATTCCTCTTGCTTCTGCTTCAGACGAGTCAGGACAACAGGCAAAGCCATAGATGCATTTTTACGCAAAATGTCCATCACGTCGAGACCATGGTCACCATATAGTCGTTCAGTGCATCTTAAATTGAGAGCTACAAGAACATAAGAGGAAAAATTCCTTTCATCAATAAAAATTCATCTCATGTTCTGAAAACAATTAACCCAGAATTCAATCATTACAAACCTGTGAAATGGTCCTCAATTCGTACCGGACCATCCGAACCAATTGTATTATTATTCATACTGTTTAACAATTCCTCTGCTCGCTTGGCAGTTGAACTGACAGACTCCAGCAACATGTCTAGCTCAAATCTGAATCCCAGACAAACATACAATTAGCAAAGCTCATATGTCTATACACTCAAGGAAACTACAGGACATGCATAATGCAGGTTCAAAATCAAAATATACATATAAATGAATTCTGAAATTGACAATGTTCTATACCTATCATCTTCACATCTGAACAGGCTTTCTTCATACTGGTTTCGTCTCATGTGTTTAAAGGAGTAATCCTCACTGCCAGATGTCACAGACACCCAATGATCGTTTAGAACTTGAGCACCAAGCTCTGACCTCTGGCTAGCTGAAGATATCGGATACTGGAAAGGCAAATTTGTGAGAATAATATTTTTTTTCTTATTCATAAAAAATGTACGTCATGTTTTTAAAAAGTATACAAAAAAAATCTTACATCCTCGGGAAGAAGCCGATAACTGGGAGTGCAACGTTGACAATTGGAAAGGTCAAGCTCTTGAATGGATTTTCCCCAGTACTTCAAATTGTACCTATCCTTCTCTTTCCCTCCTTCAGTTTCACGCTTTGGTTCTTTGTCTTTGTCATCTGTTCTCTGGGCTTTCGATGAAGTCCCTTCACTCGTTTCTGCTATTAATAAAACAAAGTTGTCAGATCAGACATCCAAAAGCTGAGTGCCTGCTCATAATAGTCGTAATATTTTACTGAAAGGTAGTGTGGGTTGGAGTTGGGGTAGGTAATAGCAATTCACAGAAATCGAAAGAATTGAAATTTCTTGTACTTAAAAAGCTAAATAATAGCTGGAAGATGACATACTTTTACCGACGACACCAGCTAGCAATCCATCTGGAAAATAGCAACCGGTTAGAAATGAAACAATTCAATCCAAAAGTATAAATTTACTTGGTGAAAATTGACGTATACCAATTTGCTCGCAACGCTCTAAAAATTCATTGAAACCCTCCATAAGATCTGGATATTTTCCAAGTAAATCAGCAACCTGAACCACATCAGATAACAACCACAAAACAGATGCAATTAACTATCAATTTCATTTATCGTAACAATCTCTCACAGAATAAGGCAAAGGAACATAATTAAAAGAAATATTCTAGGAGATAAACTTAGAGATGATATGGAAATAACAGCATAGCACAAAGGTGAAATTGTTTCTGGAGAAAGAACCAAATTAAACAAATGATTGTAATTTCCATGTTTTGAAACCCAAAAACTCTTCAGAGAAATGATAAACAGTGCTAATAGAAGTTGTAAAGTTCATACCAAACTCTGCAATTCTTTTCTGGTAATGATTTCTGAACTGTAAATGTTAAGGCATTTTAAGAATGCCTGGTACTCAGTCGAACTCCTTAGCCTCTCTTTGACTTTCTCACAAAAATTGAACTCCTGGCTATACACACCTGTCAAGATATAAAAAAAAGAAGTAAATATTAAAACGCACCAACTTAAACAAATATATGCAGATGCAGTCAAGGTAGAAAAAACAGCAGAAAGATAATTATGCAACATAGAGGAAGAAGTATACAAGGAAACATGCTCACAATATACTTGATCCTACTTTCTAGTATGACCATCGACAATCAAGATACTGATAACTCACTTTTCAATGCATCCTTGTCATCCAAATTTGAATTCCCACCAAACTCTTCAACTTTCCGAGCAGACTTCTTTTTGTCAGAATGCCGGAGCATGCTGATGTCACCATTATTCTCAGTGTCGGGATCTCTGTCATCCTGGTCACGGTTTCTCCTATTTTCCCTTTCAATATGTTTCCTCTGATCCCTTTGCAACTTCGTTACCGTTTTATCATCATCCATATCAGGACGCTCCACGCTAATATCTCGTTCTCTATTGGGTTCAATAAGCAGCCTATCCCTGCGTGGTCGCTGCTAACAAAAATTGGAGGAGAAATAAATGTTTAAAATCAAGCAGCAAATCAAAAATAGCTGTATAATAGGAAAAGATATAGAAAACGAACCTTATCTATTTGAGACTGCCTTACTGTGGTCAACGCAGAGCTCCTTTCATCATAACGCTGTAAAGAATGACGACCAATAGAAGCATGAGGAGCTGGAGCAATAGCTGAAGTATCTGGTAGAAATCGAGTGAACTCGTCAAGAAGATCTGGATGGTCATCAAACAGGGCTGCAACCTGCAAAAAAGATACATAGAAACCTCATATTTAAAAAACAAAATAATTAATTTGGGATGATAACAGGGGAGATGCATACCTCTTGGTAAACCTCAGTTATACCCTTGTGTTCCTTACGGTACATATTCAAGATGTCCAGGAAAGATTTATAAACATGGTCGTCATTTTGAAAACGAGTCTGCAGGTGAAAAACGCAAAAACAGAAAGAAAAAAAACAACATTTACTACAAAACTTCCTCGTGATTTAAAGTCGAGAGTCTTTTATTATCGTAAAAGTAATAAAGATTCAACCTTGATTTTATTAACGAAATTGATAGCCTCGTCAAATTCAACTGTCCTTTTTGGTGGAGCCTCCTCTTCATCAGTGAGGGTAATCTCATAACCCTTCGGCAAGAATGTGTTGAAGCCAAGAATTAGATTAGGGTGCCCTTTAAACAAATCCTTTACCCTTCCAATGACACCAGAAGTATCAACTCTGCAAGAAACAAAGTTGATAAAAAATAGTGATATATGGTTCCTTTAATTTCTCAAATCAAAATGCATATGTTGTTGATTTAACCAAGAAAGATTTACCTTTGCGCTTTAAAATCTTTCATGACATCAAGGAACCTATCATATTTTTCTCTCTGGTCTTGGAACATGTCCTTAACTTGCTTCAAATAACTCAATGCATCGTTTGTAGTAAGCTTTTGTGTACTAGTAGCAGGAACGATGGCACCACTGTCACTAACTCCGGTACCAACACCATTATTACTACCACTAACACCACCACCTCCTCCAGGTCCGGCTCCAACTCCTGCTCCGGGTCCGGGTCCTGCTCCGGCTCCAGGTCCTGCTCCGGCTCCCGCTCCCCCGCCCCCGCCGACATTAGGAGCTTGTGAGGGCCCAAACCTTAGTCAAATAAGAAAAGAGACATTCAATTTAAGCTCAAAATCACCACCGAACAATTCAAATAACAGCGACAACAGTTCCAAATCACATGCAGAAAGTTTTGATTGTTTTGGTTGCCGACCTTACAATATTAGAGAATATCTTTTTTCTCAAAATTCGAACATATTCATACTTCAAACCCTTACCTTCTAAGTTTGTTCACACATTTAATATGACGCTACCACCTACAACCGCAAAATATTGCTCAACATAAATGCCGTAAAAAACGAGGGAAAACAAAAAAAAGAATTGACAAAATTAATTGGATCAGTTGTCTTCCAAACTCTATTTGTCATCCGCCATCCACCTAAGCCCTGAGAGAGAGAGAGAGAGAGAGAATGTGTGTATGTGTATGTGTATGTGTGTGTGTGAAAGAGAGAGAGTGTGTTTATGTGTATGTGTATGTGTATGTGTATGTGTATGTGTATGTGTATGTGTATGTGTATGTGTATGTGCATGTGCATGTGTATGTGTGTGTGAGAGAGAGAGAGAGAGAGAGAGAGTGTGTGTATATGTGTGTGTGTGTGTGTGTGTGTGTGAGAGAGAGAGAGAGAGAGAGAGAGAGAGAGAGAGAGAGAGAGAGAGAGAGAGAGAGAGAAATCGATAAAACCAAACAAATAAAGCAGTCGGCAAATAAAGATCCAAAATTTCTTCAATTACTATCCCAGAAACCCTAGTCAAAGCAATAACAATCTGATTCACTCCATTTTCATTCCAATTTCCGCAGCCGCTGCTACGGAGGCAACCTATTCAGACTCTTGATGCATGATGAAATTGAGTCTAAAATCATTCTGATCAAACGAATTTTCAATCAAATCCAGTCACACCACAAAATCACTCTCAATTCACATCAAACACACACCGAAAAAGGCAAAAATAAAATAAAATCACAGTTCCACATCACATAAAATCAAACCAATTACAGATGTATAAAAACTCATAAAATAAAAAAACAGCTTACGATTCCCGAGACGAAGAAGTAAATGGCCGCTTAAATTGAGGGTTCATATACACCTCATCCCGCAACCTCTTCATCTCTCTGCAAAAAAAACACCAACTTCAACGTTAACAAGCCATAAAAAAAAAATCAAACCAAAAAAAAAATTCAAATTCACGACTAAAAACATTTCATCTCGATTCTCAAGGGTGACAAAACTAAAATTAAAATTAAACAAAAAAAAAATAAAAAAAAAAACCAACCTGTGAAGTCTCCTCCCTCCAGAAAAGGGAAAAGATAAAACAACAGATCTAATCTAATTCCAACCCAACCAACAAAACGACACTCTCTCCGAACAATTAACACTTCCAGAATTCCGATAAACCTTCAATTCTTCTCTCTTCAATTTTCCACCCCGCCCTCTTTGTTACGACGAGAACGAAGTTTGCGACGAGAGAGAGAGAGGTGAAAAAAAATATATAAGAGAGAGGAGAAGATGTTTAGTGAAGTTTTATGTTTTAGAGAGAGAGAGAGAGAGAACGGAAATATTACTCTTAATGTTTACGTGACACTCCGCTTTTTATATTCATCGAAATTTCGAATACTGTTAGGCTTTTTTTGTGTGCTGCCATTGGGCTTTTGTTCATTTCTTATAACATTTTCTCCATTTGGGCTTCTCTTTTAAGTCTTAATGGTGGTGAGATGAGTCCAATTTTTTTTTATTCATACTTATTTTCTTTTTTCATATGAATTAACAAGTTAAATTAAGAAGATGAAGAAGTAAAATTAACATATGAATGCATGATTTGTTTTTTGTTTTTTTAATATTTTTTCGTATTTTTTGTTTATTTTAACATGTGTGTCTGATTTTTCTGCGGGCGATTTGCAGTGATATGGTCGGAGGTGATGTGTAGATGAAGAAGAGAATGGTGATTTTTTTTGTGTTTCTGTGTAAATGTCTGCGATATGCGATATGCATGCAGAGGACGTGCGTAACTGGTGTGGTGGTTTATTGTGTTGGTTGGTTTTATGAATGTGGAAAGTATCGGCTTTTTTACACGTGTAACACTTTGGACGATTATGTTGTTAATTTGTGAAATAACGGTTTACAAATTTGTCGTTGCGGTGGTTAAAGTGTTATTTGATTTTACGAATGTGGAAGTATTGTTTTTTTTACACGTGTAACACTTTGGACGATTCTGTTGTTAATTTGTGAAATAACGGTTTACAAATTTGTCGTTTTGCAATAAATTATGTAGAGTACGATTATACCAAAAATTAAATTAACATACGAATGCATGATTTGTTTTTATTTTAATAATTTTGTTGTAAATGTGTGTTTATTTTAACATGAATGTTGATTTTTTTTTTTTTTGCGATTGATATACAGTGATTGTCGGACGTGATGTGTAGATGAAGAAGAGAATGGCGATTTTTTTGTATTTCAGTGTAAATATATGTGATATGCGATATGCATGCAGAGGGTGTGTGTAACTGGTGTGGTGGTTAACGGTTATTTGTTTTATGAATATGGAAGCATCAGTTTTTTTACACGTGGACGAACATGGTTGTTAATCTGTGAAATAACGGTTTACAAATTTGTCGTTTTGCAATAAATTATGTAGAATACGATATACCGAAAATTGAGTTATACGATAACGGTTTATTATTAACCAATTGTAGTACATTGTTAAGTGATGGTTTTAATGTTTTAGACTTGTATTAGGTAAGGCCTTGATGGGAGTTAAAATTATTTTTTTATATAAAAATTAATATATATTTTTTACTTTAAGTCAATTGACACATGCTCACTTCCTCCGATCGTTAAGTCATCACGCGAAACTAGATTTAATTACAACTTTTTTACTCAGTGTGCGTGAATTGCTATTAAGTCATACGTTGGGCTTTTTGGCACCTTGGGCAC